TGTTAGCGTGATGAATTTGTTGGTGGGCGGGTTTAGAAAGTAGCTCTTGGTGTGACCCCACTTTGTGTCAAGTTGGATCCGCCCTTCCCTACATACCTACAACATCACCGAAAAAACAAGCACTAGAGGTTTTATGGAAAATTAAGTTTCTCAAGCTGTAATTATGTTTACAAAAAAGAATTGCCAAACTGTGATATACTGATATGACAATGATGAACTCCTAAAGAAAATCGAATTGTCATCTTGGATGGATATTTAACATATTCTATATGGTTTTTAAAGTTGGGAAAATTATGTCAAGACCCTAAAAGCAAAAATTTCATGTGTTTCAGCCCCTCCAATATTTTCTCATATGGTTCAGCCCCAAAAACAAAAACTCATTGTTCTGCATCCCTTTTTAGCAATTATTATACGCTAACTACTAAGCATAGAGAGAGAATAAAAAGTAAAAAAAAATCCAAAATGCCATTATCTCCTATATTCTTTCATGTTAAGTCTAAAAGCAAGTTGAATTAGACTTAACATGAAAGTCTATTCATGTTAAGTCTAATTCGGTTCATGATAAATCTAAGTTAATTTATTTAAAGTCTAATTTAAATCATGTTATGTCTAATTTAGCTTGTTTCAAGTCTAATTTAATTCATGTTAAGTCCAATTCAACTTGTTTTAAGTCTAATTTTATGTTATGTCTAATTTAATTCATATTTAAGTCTAATTTAATTCCTTTTAAGTCTAATTTAAATCATGTTATGTCTAATTCAACTTGTTTTAAGTCTAATTTAATTGGACTTAACATGAAACTAGATTTAAAAAAGTTGAATTAGCCTTGAACATAATTTAAATTAGACTTAAAAGGAGTTAAACATGATTGAAATTAGACTTAAAATAAGTTAAAATAGACTTAACATTATTCATGTTAAGTCTAATTCAACTTACTTTTTAGACTTAAAATAAGTTGAATTAGACATAACATGATATAAATTAGACTTAAAAGGAATTAAATTAGACTTAACATGAATTAAATTGGACTTAACATGAACTAAATTGGACTTAACATGAATAAAATTGGACTTAATATGAAATTAGACTTAAAACGATTTAAATTAGACTTAAAATGATTTAAATTGGACTTAACATGAACCAAACTGGAGTTAACCCGGATCAAACTGAACTTAACATGAAACTAGACTTAACATGAACCAAAACTGGACTTAACATGAAATTAGACTTAACATAAACTAAAACTGGACTTAACATGATAAACTGGACTTAGCATGAAACTAGACTTAACTTGAACCAAAACTGGACTTAATATGAAATTAGACTTAACATAAACCAAACTTGACTTAACATGATAAACTGGACTTAACATGAAACTAGATTTAACATGAATAAACTAGACTTAACATGAAATTAAACTTAACATGAACCGAACATGTTAAGTCCAGTTTGATTCATATTAAGTCTAGTTTTGGTTCATGTTAAGTCCAATTTTGATTCATGTTAAGTCTTTTTTTGGTAAATGAAAAAGATATATTCATCACCAAATTGGAAAAATGTAATTACATCAAGGATCTCATCATATAAGAGAGATTCCAACCGAACTGGAAACTAAGCTCAATAGAGATACACTGAGCTTTACAAGGTTTGCTCCAACTATCATCTAATCACTACATTGTTGACTAAGATCCACAACATTCCTCAGAGAATGAACCAGAAGAAACTGCCACGAAAATGCACAAGAAGATGAACGGCAAGAAATTTTTGCACAAGATGCATAGGAAAGTGCACTGCAGGCAAATTGGACATATAAGCCAGACCTTAAATTGTTGATGGGCTATGTCTTCAAGATCCATCAGATGGGTTAGCACGGATAAGCACATGGAAGTGCTCTTCAGTCATATTGCACAAACATGCACAGGTATGTGCACATCTAGCCTAACCACAGTAAAGAACACAACATAAACTACACTTCATTCCAATAAGAGGCTAGGGGGCTATTGGAGAACTGATTCATGTTAAGTCTAGTTTCATGTTAAGTCCAGTTTATCATGTTAAGTCAAGTTTGGTTCATGTTAAGTCTAATTTCATGTTAAGTCCAGTTTTGGTTCATGTTAAGTCTAGTTTCATGTTAAGTCCAGTTTGATTCGTGTAAAGTCCAGTTTAAATCATTTTAAATCTAATTTAAATCGTTTTAAGTCTAATTTTACATTAAGTCCAATTTGATTCATGTTAAGTCCAATTTAGTTCATGTTAAGTCCAATTTAATTCATGTTAAGTTTAATTCAACTTTTTTAAGTCTAATTTCATGTTAAGTCTAATTAAATTAGACTTAAAACAAGTTGAATTACACATAACATGATTTAAATTAGATTTAAAATGAATTAAATTAGACTTAATATGAATTAAATTGGATTTAACATGAAATTAGACTAAAAACAATTTGAATTAGACTTAACATGAATTAAATTAGACTTGAAACAAGTTGAATTAGACATAACATGATTTAAATTAGACTTAAAAGGAATTAAATTAGACTTAACATGAACCGAATTAGACTTAACATGAAATAGACTTTCATGTTAAGTCTAATTCAACTTGTTTTTAGACTTAACATGAAAGAATAGAGGAGATATGAGCACTTTGGGGTTTTTTTACTTTTTATTCTTTCTTTATGCTTAGTTGGCATATTATAATTGCTAAAGAAGGTATGCAGAACATAGTGTCCTATTTTAAGGGCTGAACCTTATGGGAAAAAGTCAAAGGGGCTACAACACATTAAGATTTTGCTTTTGGGACATTGACACAATTTTTCCTTTAAAGTTTTATTCAGATGCTAGAGGGAGAAAAAAAATTCATGATGGAATATTGTATAATATTCATAGTTATCATCTACATGCTATTTTACAATGATACAGGATCTCCTTGGACTTTTCCAAGGGAGTATCATAAGGGGATTTTTTTTATTAAGATTTTGATAGCATCTTGGAAGTGAAATAGCAACACTTGTTATGACTTCCGACTTGCGACAATCACAAGTTGAGTATTTTCTTACGTAAGAGGCATATTCTTCTTTAATTTTTATTCCGGGAGAAAGCGATGATATTAAAATAATTTATATTTTATGAAGTTGTTTGATAAAACATCCAAACGAAAAGAATAATACCATTGGCCATTGGGAAGATTAGTGGTGATAAACAGTCCGGACTTGTCGGGTCAACTAATCCAGACCCACTAATTTCATATATAATATGGGTATCAGGGACGCAAAAGGATCGGATGTGTATCTACTTGAAATTATTATATATCTACAACCGTTTACCTGTTAGGAATATATATATACAAATACAAATATGTCTTAATAAGAAAAAACTAAAATCCGATATAAACATGAATATACATGTAAATGCAAAATAAATATGAAAAAAACCAAATAACATTGAAAAGTAAATGCAAAATAGATATGGAAAAAACCAGATAACATTGAAAAAATATGCAGTTCATATGATACTAAAGAGTTCATTAATATGTTTTGTTAATTCCAATAGCTAAGATTATATCTTTTGATCATCAAAAGTAACCTCAAATCTATTAATCTAAAGATGAAACAATTTGCAATTATAATCAACATATATTTGGTTCTTTCCTATCTGTTACTATATTTTATCTGATATAGATATTTAATAACTATATTTGCATCCTATTGGATATGAATATATCTACATATATGGATTTTTTTTGTACCCCTAATGGTAATGGGTATAGCCTAATATCAACCCGTTTAACTCGGTAAATAATTGACTTTAGTACAGTAAAATTGAGCAAATGGCCGGTTTGATTGGTTTTGACTATTTTTGTAAAACCGAACCAAACTGAATCAAACTCTTCAATACAATTCAGTTCAGTTTGTTCGGTTAACACGTCCAGTTAAAGAAATTTTAGCTAAAATACAAATTATTATACTCATTCAAATGACGGTGAGAGCGACTCAACCACTAGCATCAACACCGTGTGGACTCCAACATGAAGAGGAAGAAATTTTCTAAACAAACTCATTCAGAATTTTTTTTCTAAAAAATAGACCCCTTGAGCTTTATTTACAAAAATAGACCCATTTTATCTTAATTCGGTTCCTAAATAGTCGGGGTTGTCAATCCCGACTATTTAGGAGGTTGTAAACCCCCAATTATAAGCCTAAATCCTAACATTCTATGCACTAAATAGTTGGGGTTGGCAACTCCGACTATTTAGGAACCGGATTAAGACAAAATGAGTCTATTTTTGAATGAGTTTGTTTAGAAAATTTCTTCACATCAAGAGTCGATCTCCTTCGACTGGAGACTCACCCTCGTCGTCACTGTCGACGGCAGGTCTGTAGGAGGAGAATTGGGTTGTGCGGCATCCTTCTTGATTCAATGATTAACCATTAGTTGAAATTTTGGATTTTGATTTTTTTTCCGCTAAAATTTCACTTAGATTGCCCATTTATTACTCCTCAGAAAATTACCCCAACTATGATTGTTGATTATGTACATCTACGGGTTCCTAGACGAATTTGTTGATAGAGAGAATTGTTACAAAGTAATTTGTCGAAATCGAGGACCGTTAGAGCTGAACTAAAGGGGAAGATGTTAGGGAAGAAAGTTACGATATTACCCTTTCAATAGTAAAAATCAGAAATAAAAAATATAAATTAAAACCCATCTAAGGAGTATCGAAGCAAACCTCTTTGTGCTCGCAGCTTATTGACACGATATGCTTTTACCCAAGTAATTCGGCTGACCACTTTTTTTTTTTTTTTTTTTTTTTACAAAGTTCGACTGACCAATTTAATTTAGATTTGAGTTTGTTTTTATTTCTATTTTCGCTTTGACTTATTGCTTATTGACGAGGTAGTTTTAGTTTTGAGAATTTTAATTAATAGGCATCGTTGTGCTCACAGTTGGCTAGCAGCGGCAGCCACCTGAAATAGGCTCGAGTTCCTTGTGATCTTCTCAACAAAAGGACACGAAATCGCTACAAACCAAGAAGGCTAGCTCCCTCCATTCTCTCTCATTACAAGCCAAAGATGTCGACAAGAAACTATACCCCCCCTCATAATTTAAAACTTTGTAAAACCTTTTTTTCTCATGCTTTCATTGATTTCTTCATCTTGCCTCATCCTCCCCCTCGACCTCAAGGAAACCCAACCCTCTACCCTTTTCCTTCCGTCAAAAGTTTCTTCTACTCTCTTCTTCTTGCCAACCCACCCCCTTGATCTTATATATAAGTCATCATAATACAGTGACAGATATCACTCTCAAACCATTCAAACATCCTAGTTCAGTGACATGGGTCTCTTAAGAGCTAGAGGAAAGGTGTATAAACCCGTTAAGGATGTCGATATCGGGAAGAATAGCAGTGAACCTTATACTCCTGCCGATGTCAAAGGTGATCGTAATATGATTTTTTTTTAAAGTTTAGCGGGAGAGGAACATTTTTATTAGTTTTATTCGTAATTTTCTATATTTTTTTTGTTTTGTTTTAGCTCCTCGGGTAGCGGGTATTCTCGTGAAGATATTTGTTTGGATTTTGGAGTCATGGATTCTAGGGCCGATTGCGGTGCATATTTTGAAGAGGGATAATCGCATACACAAGGTAATTCACGTTTACGTTTGTATGGATACTTACACTGTTTAACAGTTTAAGACATGATTATCTACAGAAGTATCATGCATTAATTTGAATTAATTGCTGATTTTTGCATCTTATGGTGCTTTAACCACATTAATTTGAATTAATTTGAATTAATTGTTGTGAGGCAGTTTGTATCAAATGCTGAAATCCCAGAGCCACCCTTGTTCACTCCAATTCATGCTTCAAAAGGTTCAATTTCTTCAACAATGTTCATCTATGCAGAATTTTTCCTACAGCTTTTAAGATATAGATGTATAGTGATACAATAAGGCTTGTTTATATTGTTTCAGATCATACAGAGCAAGAAATTAGCCCCATAAATCTTGATTCATCTCCTATTGAGAGAGTTCAGGAGGCTATAAATTGTCTATCTACAGATACAGAATCTGGTTTATGTCAACAAACTTCAACTTTTAGGCGTTGGACAATAAGAGACTACTCCAGAGCTTACAACTCCAAAGAAACAACTCCTCTTGAGGTATTCCATCAAAATTCCAAGAACGGTAAATTTCAAAAAAAAAAAAAAAACCCCGAACTTAGGAGGTTTTGCACGAAACTCTCTTGAGCTTTCAAATTTGCACTTCAGGAGGTTTAGGATAATTTTGATATTCAGGAATGAATTATCTGATTTATAATTCAAGGGGTTTTTGTGCAAACCGCATAAAGTTGATGGAGTTTACCCTTTCAGGAACTCTATACTATAAATATGTTCTCTATTATGTACCCATTGTATTTCCAACCATATTCCTTTGTTTCACGGGCTAAGTTCTGCTGAATTACAGGTAGCAAAGAGATTCTTAGCTGCAGTGAAGAATTCTTCAGGTCCTAATCTCAAAATGGCATTTTTCATTAACTATAATGAAGAGGATATCATAAGACAGGCTAAAGAGTCAACGGTTCGATATGAAAAAGGTAGATCTTGTTCTCTATACATTTTCTATAGGAAGAAGAATGTGTTTAGTCCATTGAAAATTTGGTCAAGCTTTCTGCGTGAATAGCAGATGCTAATGATGCATGACCTGCGCACTTTCTGGTAGTAGAACAATTTTTGTTAACCAACCCTATTCCTGTGGTTTTTATTAATGACAAGAAACACATACACATTTAAGAAATAGATTAATGACATAGGCAGATGTAGCAACAATATGATAATGTGAACCGTGGATTACTGAACAAAGTAGCAAAACTTATGAGATGCTCACTGTAAACAAATATCTAATGCATCACATTTGCACAGAAAAACAGGAAATATTGAAAGATAAGGTTGAAATTTTTGGTGTGAATTCTGAACTGTAATTTTGTAGATCGCATGCTAAAAGTGTGTCGCTGTACCTGAGCTTCCTCTTCTTCTGCTAAGCATGTAATAGAGAGTCAAAACATGGATATGCTCAAACTTTAAGTCACAAGTTTCAGGGGGAAAAGTTTCAGGAACTTCAACTACTATTAATTTGTATAAAGGTTACATAAGAAGCCGATAATATGACTTTACAGGATATTATCAGCTAGAACTTTTATACGTTTAACTGTGTTAACTGGTTCTATCAGGCATCCCCATTTCAGTTCTTGATGGCATACTAGTTGCAGTTAAAGATGAGATGGATTGCATGCCTTACCCTACTACAGGTATAATTTGACATTTTTCTTTCTTTTCGACACTTGACAATTTTCTGCAGTGCATTTTATAACAATAATTCCCTTCTCATATGTGAATGATGGATTACATAGGAGGAACTAAGTGGTTACACAAAGTGAGGCAGTGTACAGATGATGCAATCTGTGTCAAACAATTGAGGTCATGTGGAGCTATTCTTGTAGGCAAGACTAATATGCATGAGCTTGGTGCTGGTACAAGTGGGATAAACCCTCATTATGGGTAAGAACAATTTTTCTCAAATTATTACGAGAAATTAACTGATACAAGATAGTACTGTTACAGTGGATAATCGAGTATTTGTTATTGTAAATGACGTAGAGCTTGTCGAAATCCTTATAACATAAACAAGGTTTCTGGAGGTTCATCAAGTGGATCTGCTGCTGTAGTTTGTGCTGGATTATGTCCGGTTGCACTGGGAGTTGATGGAGGAGGTAGCGTTATTTTTGGCATTTAATTTTGTTAACTTTCTACCATGTATAACTATTTTAGTCTTCATAAGTTAAGTTTGGGCTATTTCAGAAATAAGACAGGGTAGTATCTCCAAGGTTTTTATCCTTATGCAGATTAGTCTGTTAGTTGGTAATTCTGGGTGTGCATGTCGATGAGAAGATTGTGATATCTGTGTTTGTGTCATGCACGTGTCTGTCTGTCACTGCACATTATTATGCATTAATTGCAGATAGATCCTCTGCAAAATTGCCTAATTGCAGATGGACACCTGAATGAATTATTTTGGACTCTCTTATGCTTTGAGTAAGAGAACTTTTTTTTGCCAAATAGACCTCTGAGGGTGAAAGAGTCAAAAACTTTCACTCGAAATCTATCTATAACAATGGAACTATGGAGGCTCTATTGACACGCAATAGTACAGGGGGTCTATCCGCAATTAACCCCATTATTATTGTTACCTTAGTTATTATTATGATTTGAGTGTGCCTAAATTCACTGTATTAGACCCCTATTGTAACCATAAATAAGTCTTTTGGGTTTCTTTCTAGTAAATCAATAGCAAACCCTATCTCTTTCTCTAATTCCAACACCACAATACCATGAATTGGTACTGATGTTATAGATCCACGATAAATCAGAACACAAAGCTTATTCCCTTCATTAACATTTGATATATAACTTTCACAATAAACATATAATTGTTATTAAAGAAATAATAATAATAGCAGTGTAATGCATGAAAGAATTATGAAACATCTATCTACTGCAAATATACATTATTCTCTCATTTGTTGTATTTTTAGGGTCTGTTCGCATGCCTGCTGCTCTTTGTGGTGTGGTTGGTTTCAAGCCTACAGCCGGTCGCATATCTAATTCTGGGTAACATATCAAATACTTCATTTGAATTTCATTTAAATGGAAACCGATAACAAGCCTAATTCTGTTTTCATATTATCATTTCAGTGTTCTACCGCTAAATTGGACGGTTGGAATGCCAGGAATTCTAGCAGCAACAGTAGAAGATGCACTGATAACGTTAGCTGACTTATCACTTTGATCACTTAATTGTTCTTCTACTTGTCGTATCCTTCACTGATATATTAAAAATTCTATGTGTCAGTTTTGCAGCTGTGTGTAATCCCTTTCCATTGAATCAACCAAAATTTACACAGGTGAGAAATCATCCATTTACTCTATTCCCATTATTAATTTCTCTTTAAGCATGCACAACTTATGTCATATATGCCCTTTTGACAACAATAATCACTAACTGAAACTTTTTACTTTTCCAGCCTGATCTGAGTTTTCCTTTGCTAACATCTTCACAATCACTCGCCAACATAAAATTTGCTAAATATGAAGAGGTTTGTGTTGAATCATAATCCTAAAAATCGTAGATGACTTCTTTCTTGCGTTAACATACTAACTCTTGGTTTGAAACATGCAGTGGTTCAATGATTCAACAGAAGATATCAGAAACTGTTGCGATCACACCCTTAAGATGCTATGTAGGAATTATGGATGGAAGGTAGTATTCTTTTCAAACTGTGAAATTATGCCTCAATATTTACGTTGATGATATGAAACAAATCTAAATGAAACCTACAATCTTCAAGACTGTGGAGGTGACAGTACCTGAGATAGAAGAGATGCGTCTGGCTCACTATGTAACAATTGCTTCAGAATGCACAACTTCATTAGGCCCTCATCTTGAAAAACTGTACGTATTTATCTTAACATACATACATGCATACACGTACATGTACACATACACGTGCACGTACACATGCACATACATAGTTAGTTTTCCGTATCTTCATATACTTCAACATGCTTATGTCATTCCTTTCCTGGTACTAGGAAATCAGCTCAGATAGGGTGGGATGCAAGAATTGGGCTTCGTGTCTATAGCTCGTTTGACAGCAAAGAGTACCTTAATGCTCAAAGAATTAGGTCATCTACACATCTAAATAGAATTTCCAAACATAGAAATTTTCTATTGAGATATTATCTCTAAAAATGGTTCGATAAATTGAATGATATACTTGTATATTATTATTTGACAGGAACCGTCAAATGCAGCTCCATCAGGAGATTTTTAAGGCGGCAGATGTCATTGTCACACCTACAACAGGGTATTATTCTTGAACTACACTCTGTGGAGAAATAATGAAATATGCAAATAAATTATGTAAACGTTCATTCTTTTCTCATGTCTTTATGGTGTGATGATCTTTACTTACACCATGTACATAATACGAAGTGTGCATGCGCACAACACTCGTAGATCCATTTTTGGTGCATGTTTAAGTATCATAAAATGAAGAAACTGTAAAATAAAATCCTTACCCAATTGATGAATGTTTAACTGACTCTCTCTACTTGTACAGTGTTACTGCATACTCATTACAAGATGATGCTTTAGACACCGGTGAACTTGACTACATAAATGGAGGTGATAGAAACTTACTTAAACTATATACATGGACCTTAAAATTTCTTATATCTGAGATTCTTTTGTACACGATGTTAACCTTTATTTGTAATCATCGTATTAGCTGCACTTGTAAGGTACTCCATATCAGGAAATTTTCTGGGTTTGCCAGCAGTGACAATCATGGTAATCCTCTTCTTTACAGCATGCATTTGTGGCTTTCTTTTCAGTATAGATTGATTTTTTACGTTCTGAAGTCTATAATTTAATTGATATTTTAGATTGGATGTGACAAAGGTGGCATGCCAATTGGGCTTCAGTTTATTGGGAAACCATGGTCTGAAGCAACATTGCTTCATTTAGCCAATGCATTGCAGGTACTAAATTGACTGTATTTAAGAGTTCATTAGAGTGTTTCCCTCATTAACTCTCTTTACTAAATAATCAACGTTTTAACATACAATAGTTAGTAAACGGGTCTTGCAATTTTTCTTTACTTTAAAGTTGCGTCAGAAATATATGACACATGAGACTTCCAAATTCTGATATGCTTCTAATATGTTGGTGGTTATTGCTAAACTTGTTCTCTGTTTAATGAAGGATAACCTCTTTATAATCTATTCAAAATAAGGCAAAGCCTTGTCTAAATTACCCGTTAAGTTTTGATGTTATAAATAATAAAGATTACCCGCATATCTCCCTGTTCTCAGAAGCGCTAATACTTGCAATTGTTTAGAGCTTGGGGAGGCACCACTTCTCATTTTTGTCGCATTTATAATCTCTAAGACAGTGAAATTGTCATTGATCCCATATGTTTATGTAAATGATGTAATATACATAGATCAATACAAAAGTTATATCTTAAATTAAATCCACAAAGGGTGCATGATTACGACCACAAATAGTTATGTGACAACGAAATCAGTTAAACCACTTCATGTTCATGCACGTAATTTTGGTGTTCAAGAAAAGTCCACTCTAATTTGTGATCTGCCTCTAAGTAGATTACGCTGAGCTACCCTGCAAGTTTTAGGTTTCAAGTTTTAACTTACTAGAGATTAATCAAATATAAAGAAAGAAAATAGAGATTAATCACATCTGAAACTGTGTGGTGACAGGAACTATGCATCGGAAGCTATCCAAAGCCAAAGGTGTTCTTCAATCTCCTGAAGAAGGAATAGAGACGGAGTAGGATGAAGATGTACACTGTAATTGGTGCATGATAAAACATATGTCCGTACCAAATTTGTGAAGTCCATCATAGCTGATAAATACTCAATATTTGCAATGCCTTGTTCTGACGTACCAAATTTTGATCTTTCTTTGCCATTTTGTGGCTACGGCCAGTGTTGCATATTGTCAAATTCCATGATCTCCTACTGCTTTATTTGGAAACCTCTTTATCTGCATCACATTCACTGTCAAGGTGCTTAGGAGAGAATAACAGGTTGAATATATTCACTGTTGGTTGAGAATTAAAGCTAGCTTCTCAATAAATAAAAAATCCTAATAAAGAGCCTACCTTTTATGTTCCCATGCAAATTTCATCAATCCAAACTCCACTCTAGCCGTTTGGATAGCAATGTTATGCAAAAAATATTAGCATAGCAAGCTTGTTCGCAGTTTTAGCTGTCAAGAATAAAAATTTAACTGCACAACCGAGCATATCAGAAGGAAAACTACAAAGACTAACTTATTGAATCAATAAAACTCTGTACTGAAAAATGGAGAACTATGAAAGGAACAAGATAATGAATTATAGAACCTAAAGCTTAAACCTGTGAAACTTTGCAGCGTACACCCATACTTTTGATGTCTGAAGATGTCAACTAAAGGCTCAGAGCAGCAATAGCCAATTACTAGCCAGGATTATAGTAGTCCGTCTTTGGCACTCAGCAATCTAGAAATGATTTATCCATCTGCACCAGGAGGAAAACAAAAACGATAGTTTCTTTTAGTATAGCTGCACATTCACGAAACGACCAAAAGGTACAATAATGCAGGTAAATGATATAGCGGGTAGTCCACAGTTTTCATACTCCATGTTCTACAACAAAGCATAGCTCTAATCTCTGCCTCAACTTTTTAAAGTACTAAAAAGTCATGTTCTTGAATACCCACAATAAAGAGAGAAGAGGGTTGATTATAATCCACCCAAAACATACACCAAGTACACACCATATAGGGGCGCACAAGTGAAAGTTTAAAGGTTAAGTAGGAAAAGATAAGTTCAATCTTTCCCATGTAGCTTCAACTCAGGAGGCGAAGGAAAACACTATCAGTTCTAGCAGGAGACATTTTTCTTTGAGTAACTGGGGTAAGTTGCCTGAGGAATTTATTAACTAGAGAAAACTAATGCAGAATATATATACATGGAGAGGAAGGATTAAAAAAGGGCGAAGTACTGTAGAAGGTAAGAGGAAGTGAAAGAAGAAGAAGAAGAAAACCAACTATCTGAACCAGGATGTCGCCCAGCTCTGATTCGATCCTGTACGCTGGTGTAAAATGATGTTGCCATACTAGAAACTATGCCTATCCAAACGGTCCGGCCCAGCCAAGCTCGGCAAACCGGGGCCGGACCGGGCAAAACCTATGCTTAGACCTAGGCCTTGTTGGTCCGGGCCAGGGCCCGGGCCCGAGCCCGAGCGGGCCGAGCACCGGGCTAGCCTAGTCTTTTTTCGCTTAAAATATTATTTTTTTGTTAAAAATTTTTTAAGAGTAAATAGCAATAAATTAAGCAAAATTTTGATAAAAAATCAATCATATTATTAATCACTTGTAATTATATAATTTACAAATACGAAAAATCATAGAAATTAAAATAATAAAAATAAATTCTTTATTAATAATCACTAACAATTATAAATTTATTTTAGAATTTATCGCATCACAATAAATAAATACATCCCAACTAGCTTGGCACCTATTCATCTATAGCACTATCATTTGCAACTATTTTTAAAATAATTTATCATAAATTTTCAGCTAAGAAATAAAAATTACAAACTAATGAATAATTTTTACTCTTTATCTCTATCTCCTATTCTCAACTCTTCAAGTTTATCTTCAATACTAGCCATCTGATCGATGTCTTAAGTTCTCTTCTCATACTTCCACCAATCTTGTAGACACATTACTGCCTGTACGATAGACGGATCTAGTGATATCCTGTGGTCGTCGATCAAACGTCCTGATGTGCTGAAGACAGATTCCGAAGCTACCGTGGAAACATACACTGTTACTCTGTTAGTAAGTCACGAGCCATGATGGAAAGTATATGATATGAAACTGTTCCATATACTCTCCACCATTACAAAAATATCAAAATTATTATTTTGACTTTTAACTATAGATGAAGTTAAATATTGTTCAATTTCAAAAACTTCCATTGATGATCCAGATTTAGATCCAGATCCACCAGTTAGCTGAGCTATTAATAATTTCCTATGAAAACTCTTACATTTGTCCCGACTTGAACTTGTAGAAGCAAAAGCTGTAGGATGATATGTACTTACACCATATCTAGCTGCATACTCATCATATAATATTTAAAAATAAGTTATAATAGTATTATGATGAATAAAATTAATAATCGTTTGACCATCATCAGTGTCTATTATCATGTTACCATACAAAGAATTTAACAAACTTTAAAGGTCAATATCCTTCAAACATGGATCAATAAGAACCTCCAAACCAAAAATAATATGAATAGGTCTAATATACTTATTAAATTTACTTTCCATTTAAAAAATTATATTTCCAAAATAATTACCCATACGATAATTATTAAAAAAGTTTGAATATTTAAAACTTGTTGTTTGGTGGGAAAATTGAAAGAAGAAAAATAAAGAATTTAATTTGTATTATTCTCTCTAACAGACTTTAAAAAATAATTATAATTCTCTCAATGCAAATTTCTCTCTAAAGAAATTATAATTCTCTCAATCGGTTTTTTGATTTACAAAAGAGAGAAGGGATCGATGGAGACCCTTCCCTTTGTTTAACCTTCTTCTTGGTGTCGATGGAATGCCTCCCACGATGTTCGTGTCGAGTTTGCATTCGCATCTTGACTCGAAGTCTTGGACGAACTTGCGTGACAAGTTTAAAACTCTTGACGAGTTGATAACGCAGAGCGAATTTAAACTCTATAAAAGAGTTGATTTTAAACTGAGAAATCGGTTAGAAGCCTAAGTATATTAAAGCTCCAAAGACCTCTGTTGCTGAAGAAGACCTTTGGTTGTAGAGGAAAATATCAATCTCTTTAGGTAATTTTCTGATCACCCCAAAACCAGCCGATCTAAATAAGAGAGAGCCCCCCAACTAAGCTGAAACTTTAGCTATTTAAAGGGGATTAAGGGGTGTAACCACCCCCTTAATTTATTCATTAATGGGGTTGAATGGGGTGTAACCGACCCCTTAATCTGCTCCTAAGTGGGACGAAAATCCTTCAAATCGTGGGGAGAAAATGATTTCTGGAACCGTTCAACTCGTGTTTGAACGAGTCAAACGCAAAATCCGCGTTCTGGAACGAATTCTATGTTCTAACGTAGCGTTTGGAAGCTGCATTAGTGTAGGCATATAAAATTGCTTATAGGTCCCTTAGCTCAGCTCGGCACAAACCGACGAACCAACGAGGCGACGAGATCGACAAATCGCACGCGAACAACGGAATGAATCCACCCGCGTGCAGAATCAAGCTAACGAGTTAAGGAATCAACGAGTCATCCAACCGAGAACAGACTCAGAAGAATCACGATCGAATCAAGATCAATTTCGGACTCGAACCCAGAAGCGGATTTACTGCCAAATCAGGAATCCGACTTACTGCCAAATCAGATCAACCAATCAGAGTCTCAATCAACCGAATCACGGACAAAACCGAAAAACGGACACAACTCGAAAAAATCGGAAAACACCGCCCGCGGGGGCTCGGCCAAAGCCGAGCCACCTCAAGGTGGCTCGGCCAAGGCCGAGCCACCCTGAGGTGGCTCGGTGGCCGAGCCACCTCGGGGTGGCTCGGCCAAGGCCGAGCCACCTCGGGGTGGCTGATGTTCATTTTCAGGGGTCGAACTTTCAAGAGCCGAAACTCTGCCGGATTGAAGAGTGAACTCGGAGCTTGAAGACCAGAAGACTTGCACCATTCAGATCTGATCCTCGGCGACCATCCACGTCAGAAAAGGCAGGATCTCGAGAGGAAGAAAGAACAGATCTGAGATCTACACGAGACTACACTCCAGATCTAAGCTTGGTCTTAGATCTCGAGATCTGAGCGATTATTCCCTTGGTGGATTAATCCCTCCCGGCTATTATTCCCTTCGTGGAATAATACCCGCATACTCGTGTAGATCCGACCGGATCTAGATCGCGCGGTGGTCCACGGATTAACCCCGGCGCAGGCAAAGAACCCACCAAAGCGAGCGACCGCAAAACAGGAGCTCGTGATTTGTTCACAGAGGAGAGTTGTAATTTTTCTTTATTTTCTTTGATTTAGTTGTAACCGGATCTATAAAAGACCGGATCTTTGTAACCCAAGATGACAATCATATCAATGAAAAAGAAAACAGTTTTCCACGCGAACAATCTGGCGACCACAGTGGGAGCCGACGATCTCGCCAACGAGATCGATGCGTCGCAGCCGCGGATTGCAATCCCGGTCGTGGAGGAGGTCGAGTACGAGTTCGACCAAGCCAAGTTCGAGGAGTACGTGTCCTCGTCCGGCTCTATCTCCCCCCGCAAGTCCAAGAAGTTCTCCTCCGGGAGAAAAGCTCGTTGGTTTGAAGCTGCTCGGGAAGCCCACGAAGCTCTCAACCCAACTGACGCCGAAGTTGCGTCAAATGAAGTTCCACCGACCTCCAATCAGGTCAACCCAACTCCCGCCAACGCCTCCACTGTTCAGGGCGTTGTGACTCTCTCAAAGAGAGCCCGCCAGAGGCGTCGTCAACGCCTTGCGCGGCAATTCGCTAAGGCGATGGAGTCTACGGACGGATTCCGCTACCACGCGGAGTTGAAGAACAGAAGAGGCAAACAGCCTCAACCACCAATGAACGGCGACTCTTCCAAGCCGCCAAAGAACGAATGGGTCCGCGTCAAACGGAACCGTTCGATGCTCGAGGAGCGTATTCGCAAGCGCCGCGCGATGTCAGCGCAGGCACGGGCTCAAGCTCAGGAAGCCCGTAGAAAGCTGCAAAAGGAGGTGGAGAAGAAGCCACCACCAACACGCCAAGTCTGGAAGCCTAAGTCTGAAGTGGCGACTCAGGCCAAAAAGCAACCAGTGCAGCCTTCTAAGGAAGGTCAAACTCCGGCGAGTCAACCAAAGTCGCCGTCAATCCCAATAACTTCTCCGGGAGATCATGCAGAGTCATCCCGCAAGAAGAAATCAATTTTGGAGCG